TATATTTATATATATATATATATATATATATATATTAATTTTCCATAAGGAAATGTGCCCTTTCAGAGTAAATTACACCATGTCTCAAGTGAGGTTGCACCCCTTCCCCCACCCGCTCCCTTTTGTTTTTTTAATGTTTACAACAACCTCCTTTATAAGGGGATATGGTGTAATGTTTTTCAAATAATAAGGGGCTCAATGTAATGTATAAGGGATGCTAGTGTAATGTTTTTCAAATAATTAAGGAAGTGATTGTAAGGTTAAAGAAACGAGGGTATCAAAAGAAATTTGATGAAACTTCAAGTTGTGTCAGTGTAATTTACTTTTTTTCTTTTTTTAATAATGATGTATGCTACTTTGTTGTCATGCTTCTTAACAAACTTACAAAATCCTTATCTTCATTGATTATTATAGATATTTTAATGCATTTTTATTTCTCTTCTATCTGTTAAGCATCTTAAATATATAATATGTTATAGGATATGATTGAAAATGTGTTAGAGATTAAAGACACACATGTCAGAGAGGTTATGACACCTCTTGTTGATGTTGTTGCAATTGATGCGAGTTTAAGCCTGGTAGACTTTCATCACTTGTGGGTCACACATCAGTACTCAAGGTATTTGAAGATTTGCTGGCTTCAAATTTACTGTGATCTTTTTTTCCAATGTACTAACTGGATCACAACATGTTCCCTAGGGTACCTGTTTTTGAGCAACGTGTTGATAATATAATGGGTATAGCATATGCAATGGATCTGCTGGATTATGTTCAAAAGGTTGGGTGATTTTACACCACCTATTGAATTACTAGTGCTTTACCTATTAATTATATCCCCAATCTCATAGTTTGCAGAATTATAATCTGTTTGGTTTTGAAGGGTGATTTGCTAGAAAGTACTACGGTTGGAGATATGGCTCACAAGCCTGCATATTTTGTACCTGGTAACTTTTTTCATCTTCAGTTTGCCTGTTTGTGTATTACATCTCATGGTTGGTGTTGTATTGTTAGTAGAGGGTCTTGGGGGGTTATTCGAACACATCATACCCTCCCAAGACCTAACTAATCTTCTGACCTATCCTCTTTTTGTCTTTTTATCTAATCTTCTGCCCAACTAATTTGCTTTGTCACTCTGCTTTGTTGATTGTTATATATTATATATATATTTTAGAGCATTGCCAGAATAGATTCTGGAGGCTCTGAATTGTCATTCTGACCTCTTAAGAGTCTATCCTAAACATGCTAATATCCTATCATTGTTTCATCAAGATATCATTTTTCCATCTATAAATTCTGCAAATCTTTTATAAACTTATACATGCTGGTTGGGAGGGTAGAAGGGGGATGTTAAACAGATTGGCTTTCTGTCACGTACTAGAATTTTACAATTAAACATTCATTCATGTATGGACAAAGAATTAAGCAGCAGCTGACTTACTATGTCTTGACCACTAATGGTTATGATTTTTGCACCTCATATTGAATTGTTTGGGATAGGAGCACATCTATCTGTTTAACTTGGTGCAGAATGTTTAATAAAATATTATTACTGATTTTGCAGATTCAATGTCTGTTTGGAATCTTCTCAGAGAGTTCAGAATCAGGAAGGTTCACATGGCAGTTGTTCTTAATGAGTATGGTGGAACTGTGGGGGTATGTGCACACTGTATCAGAATACCACTAACTCAGATCTATTTGTTTGACATAAATATGAATATAAATCTGTAAATTTGTGATTCACCAATGATATATATTCCATGCTAATTACAACCATTTGCCCAAAAAGTAAGTCTATGAAAGATATCAATTAGAACGTAGTATCACTATGGGTTTCATTTCTTTCAAGATAGTTTCTAATTATATATGAACCTCTTTTTTATGCAAATTTGAAATAAAACTTAACAGAATCAACATTGACATCATTCCCATCGTCATGAACTATTACAAGAATGTTTATAAATAATCCTGTAGAAATATTAGTTCTTATGGTTGTAGTTACACGTCCAAGTGCATTATAGCTGTACACTTGCGATCCATCGTACTATGCATTGTTTTGTGTCTTGTGCTCCAATATAATTTATTTTTTCTCTCACTTTACTGATCCAAAAACACTGTAGTAAATCAAAAGTCTTTCTGGTTACAAGGAAATTCTGATTTACTAAATGCCCTTGTTTACCCATTATTCTCATTATGCTCTTTTTTTAATCTTTTTTGGTTCTGGTTACAATTATGTTCGAATATCTAATGGCAGTGTTTCTTTGATCCTTTGAGTTCATCTTTTAAATGATTTTTTGGTTCATCCTTCTACATGCCTGTTGCATTCAAGACTAGTTGTAGATATAAATCCTTTTTAGTCATAGATAAATTGAGAGTGAGATTTACTTCTTTAGACAATTTATTAGATTGTATTGTAATTAGATTATCAAAGTCTTCTGAAATCCATTATGTGTAAACTGCTTATAAGTTCTAACAATTTTTGGTTCATCAAATCTAGATGTCTTTTTGATATTGCCATCTGACAGATTGTAACTCTCGAGGATGTTGTTGAGGAAATTGTTGGTGAAATCTTTGATGAAAATGACTCAAAGGTAAAATGCTAGTGCTAAATCTTTACTATGTTTCTTTAAATTTATTTTCAAATAACTTAAGAGGGGATCATATATTGAATTCATCTATCTTTACTCGGCTTCACCCAAAAGAAGAAACAAACGTTGCTTTTTATTCTATACACTTTGTTCAACAACAGTTTCATATGGAACATTTATTTGACCTGACTGCATAATCTGTGTAGTGCGTACCTTTCCAAGTTATTTTCATTGTCACATAACTAACAATATAAATGCTGACAAATCTATTGTTTAATGGCTTCTAGTGCTTTACTATAAACTTTATCTTAGGCTCTCTTTGCATGGCTTCATATTGATATAATTCAAAGCAGTTAACAAGGTTTAAGTTTTTTAAATTAATGCAACGTGAGCTGAAATTTATGGCTTAAAGTAACAGAATCTCCAGAAGGAAAAAAAATAGGTCAAACTATTAGTTCTACCCATAATTTCTGGGTAACTGATAAAAACTAGCTCAAACTGAGGAAAGAAACTGATATGAATGCTGAATATTAACACTACCAATACTAGTGGGATAGTTCCAAGATACCTCCCCCTGGCCAGTTGTTAGTACGTGAACCCACCTCATATGTGTCATATTTCTTACCCATTTTCCAGACAAGTCCAGCATAGTAGAGTTTTTATCAATATCTTAACCTTTCTTATAAACAAAGAAGTAGCAAAAAACATTTGTTTTGGGAGTTGTAAGTGGGCACTCTAGATTTGATTGTTAAATAATTTCATTTCGCATATATTATGTGTTTGGAGGCTTTCAGTTGTCGGTGCGAAACAAATCTTTATTCAAGTTCTGCTCCGCAGAAAAAATAAAAATGATACATTTTGTTCAATTCTATCATTCCTGCAAGTTTATTGGACATGGCTTACTCATAATGTTAAGTGTTTGTTCAGGTCATTTCTCTAACAGCAGTGGGACATAAATGCACTTTGAATTTAGCTATTAGTGCCTAATTATGCCTTTGATTTTATTTTTTTATAACTACACCTATTTGCTGCATGCTGATTTTTCGTTAAATAATTTTTACATTCTTCCTGCTGATTCTACA